TATTTATTTCATAATATATTATATTCATTTAATAACAAAACATCATGATTATAAATTTAAAAAACTTATAATTCAATTTAAGTAATGGTCCCATTAATTCAATTTATTATTTATGTGATTAATTAATTTGAAAGAGTTTGGACCTATTTGTCCACGTAAGCTCTTTTAATTTATTTGTTTGAAGAAAAATAAAAAAAGTAATGATATAGAGGTAATCACTTTATAATTTTTTTATATAAATTTTATATATTATTAAATAAATAAATACATGTAATACTATTAATTTTAAAATAAAAAAATTAATAATTAAATAATATATAAAATTATATGAAAAAATTTATAAAAATTATTCCTCAATATTTTCCTTAAAAAAATTAACGCGTCTGTTTTCAATTTATATGAAATATTTTCAAAGAAAATAATTTTTGTTTGAACAGTAAAGAATTTGGGGGATATTTATTTTTAAGATATTGATAAGAGTTGAGAATTTGGGGGATAATTTAACAACAACTTTAAATTAAAAAAAATGAATTATTTCATTAAAAAAAAAGATGAATTACCTGACGAAGTTCGATGCCATGTCAGCATGTCATTAATGGAAGGATGATTTTAGTTCCTAAGATAAAGAGTTCACGGACCAAAAGGATCTTCAAAACAATTTAGAATTATTTTGGTACCAATTGAAAAAGTTTAGGGACCAAAATCGTCATTAAACCATACATCAAAATAATCAGCTCTCGATTTCCTTCCCTCAAATCATTGTAAAATCGGAGAGAAGCACCAGATCCAGTTTTCTTTCAATCGACAAGGCTCTCAGATAATTCCGAACCCTAATTTTCCTTGAGGTAAGAACAATGAAATTCAAAAGTCTAAAATTTGCTAAATCTGTTTGATCGTTTCCTTTTCTTTCTAATTTTTCTGCATTAGAATTTGGTTTTCTGTTGACAATTTTCCGATTTCTTATTAGCTCGTGTTTCTGTTACTTTATGGCTTCCGATATTGTTTTCCTTTTGTTGAGTCGCAAGAATTGAGTAAATTTAGAATTTTTTTTTTTT